GGCATCAGCGATGTGCTGGAGCTGGTGACACTGCTAGATAGCGGTGCAGCGGCGCCCTACACTGTGGGCTCTGCCGGCGCCGGCGCCTCCAGCCAGCTCGCCGCCGTGGTGCGCCCCTCCAGGTGCGCGCAGGCAGGCGGCTGTCGTTGGCTGCCATGGCCCAGCATGCCCCTGCTCCAGGTCTTGACTGCCTCTTGATCGATGCTGCTACTTGGATCAACATGCCTGCTCAGCTGCCAATCACCCGCCCGTCTGATCCTAGCCAGCCCGCATCAATGCGCCAACCCTGCCTCCCACGCCGTTGCAGGGTGCGCGCCATGCTAGCCTCCCGCGCCTGCCGCTCCTCTATCATGATTGGGCGGGCCCTGGACCTGCGCACCATGCGCCTAATCCTGGAGCACCTGTCCCAGCTACACTCGCCTTGGAACTGCCCACATGGCAGGCCTACTATGCGCCACCTGGCGTTGCTGCCGCAGCATGCGCTACAGCCCTGAGCCACCCCGCTGCGACAGAGGGTTTCAAGGTACAAGTTGCCCCGACTGACTGACTGATTTAACAAGAAAAGTTCGCACGTCCTCGCAAAAAGTGCTGCAAGTGTCGGTTGGGTACAAAAGGCTTCCTCCATGAATCCGAGAAAGCTACCCTGAGAAACAGTTTGAAATGCATATTGTCGCGGAAAGTATCGGTCAGTAGACTCCCGGTCAACAAAAACAGGGTTCACCGCTGAACAAAATGCAGGGGAAGGTTGTTGGAGCAGCCGCTGCGGGGGGTAAGAGGGATAAGGACAGGAACAGAGAGGACGACGGACCAAATGGTGTCCGTGGTGCATGCACAAAGACGGGGAAGCGTGGAACAGCGAGCCAAAGCCACAGGCAAACGAGCGGGGACAAGGGATAGCCAGCACTACCCGCAGAGACAGAGGCGGAAGGAAGAGGGCGGCAGGCCCATGCAGGGATCAGAAGAGATGAACGTCCTATGTGTGTTGCGTGTGGTCAGGTGTCCATTCCTTATAGGAAAACTCCTGGTGATGCCGAGCATTGCCCTAGCTGGGCAGTCAGCCCAGCGCGGTGGCCAGCGCGGAGGCCACGCCCGCCACGTCATCCACAATCACGCCCTGCACTCCCAGAAAATGCTGATAACGCACCCACTCTGGGTTGTCGTTTGGCTGGCCATAGGTCATGACCCGCAGCCCCCTGCTGCGAGCCTCCTCCACCATGTGCGCCTCAAGCTGCAGCGCCCGCGTGTTGAGGATCACGCCCTGCAGCGCAGCGCCCGAGGCAAACGCCACCGCGGCGGCTATGCTGGTGCGGCGCAGGTCCACATGGCTGTACTGGCCGCCACCCGACAGGAACATGACCACGGCACCAGGGCGCCTGCAGCGCGGAGCCCATGAGAGCCGAGGTCAGCATGCTGGGGCACAGCAGGAGCGTGGGGACGGGAGCAGCTGGCGTGCTGCATGCTTCACCCCTGCCTGCCACAGGCAATGCCCTGCAGCCACCTCCCCAAAAGACTCCACTGCCAAGCACTCCACACTCTCCGCCCTCCACAGCACCACGAACGGCACACACCTGCGCTTGACCTCCAGGCAGACCTCCGGATCGAAGCTGGAAAACATGATGGTGCGGGGGCCATGCGCCGCCAGCCCAGCGTCCACCGCCGCCAGCGTGGCGCTGACCATGCGATCTACCTCGTGTGCTGGCGTCACCACCACATCATCGGGCACCGCCATCTTAATCTCCAGGTCAAACGCCACGCTGGGTGGGATGCCCGCAAACACCTCTGCGAGCGTGGGGAAGTGGTCCTCCTGCTCGCACTGCCAGCTGCGCAGCGTGGGCTCATGGGGCTCCGCGGGCGTGTCGTTTCGGTGCTTGCGCAGCAGCCGGGTGGTGCCACTGCTGGTGGTGGAGGTGGCGGCGGAGGCAGCGCTGGAGGCGGTGGAGCAGGCAAAGCTCTCCAGGCTGGCCAGGCTGGCACTGCTGCTGGTGGGGCTGCCGCCCAGCAGCACGCCGGTGTCTGCTGCGGCTGTGGCTCGGCTGACATTGATGGGCGCCAGCTGGCGGAACGCCTGGGACGTCAGGTCGGCGATACGGCAGCTGGTGGGGTTGGCCTCGTCGCCGAACACAACGTAGTTGTCATGCCAGATCACAGGGACGCCTGCCAGGGTGAGGGAGGGGCGGCAAGCCAACCCGGTCGAGAATGAGGGCACAGGCGGGGCAGCACGGTTGGCATTAGGCCGCGATAAGGACAGGGGACAGGCCCAGCCAGGCAGCCGGCCCCTCCACACCGTCGGCGCAGACTTGAACATCAAACTCGAGAAAGGTGGCTCCGGACTCGGATGCTGCTTTGAAGCTCAATAAAGTGTTCTCTCTGAAGGGCGCCGCCATGGGTTGGCTGCTGGAGGGGTGCCACACATTGGCGCCCATGCTGCAGGCGGCGCGAGCGGCAGTGGATGATGAGTGGTCACGGTGAGTCGCATGCTAGACCCGTCCCACAGCAGCAAGTATGTGGTGCGCGGCGACGCTCACCCGCGGTGCCCCCCCAGCGCGACTGTATCTGCCGCAACATCCAGCATGCCGGCAAACGGCTTCAGCTGGGGCCAGTCCACAGAGGACGTCGCCTGCAGAAACGGGGCGCAACCTTCCCTGAGTGGGGGGGGGGGGGGGGGGCGGTGGCGCCGCGGCGGGGCCCGCCGTTGCCGCGAGGGGCTGAGGACCGCGCCATCGCCCGCTGACCCTGCCCCATAGCGGCCATCTGAGGCGCCTCGGCAGCCTGGACGGGCACCACACGCCGTCAATGTCAACCGCCTCGTGACTCACCGTGGGGGCTGCGCGCACCATCGCGAGGCTGCTGCGCCCAGTGTTGCTGCCGCCTGGCCGCTGGGAGCTGGCCGTGCAGGCGCCTGGCGTGCTCGACTGCGCCGCCATTCCTGCCATGCCAACTCCCCACGTGACCCTTGGGCCGCTGGGCGGGACTGCCGCCAGCATGGCGGCCTGCGGCCTGAACACTCACCCGTCGACGGGCATCGGGCTTCGTAACGATGCGCATCCCTCCACGTGTGTCAGCTGCCAAACGAAAGTTGGAAAACGGGGGAGTTGGGGGGCGCCCTGCTGTCTCTATACATCGAAAGCAGCTTGTGATCAGAAGCTTGTGATCAGCAGCTACGGTCCACCCACCCACCTCCGAAACACCACCCCACCAGCACACCGAGATCGGTGAGGCCTTTCCGGAAACGCGGGCAGCGGGTGATGTCGGACGGCATTTCGGGGCGCGTTAGAGCGCGTGCTGCTAGGGGTCCCGCCGCCACCGCCGCCGCTGCCGTGACGAGTCCCGCCTCCTGTGTGTGTGTGAAGGCACAGAGGCATGAAGGGGGCGGCAGCCCTGGACATCATCAATCACGAGCGCAAGGCGGAGGAGCCTGCTGCGCACCTTGTGTCCAGCCCCCGGGCCCGGCTGAGCGCCACCTCTCGGCAGCCCGAGCCGCATGGCCCCTCCATGCCGGAGCAGGAGCTGGGCGAGGCGCTGCACCCCGACCGCAACGCGCGGCACGGCCACCCTGGCGTGGATTGCCATGCGCTGCCTCCGGGGCATGCCCACAGGTGGGTGGGTGGGTTGCTTCAAGGCTGGCAGTGTGTTCCGCGCATCTGCTGACACGGCCCCCGGGACGCAAACCGCAGGCTGCCAGACTACAAGGATGCACGCGAGCTGACGCGCCCACAGGAGGCAGAGACGCCGCTGCTCGTGGCCGCCACCAGCGAGAAGCCTGGCAGTAAGGAAGCCTGAGGCGCCCTGGCTCCACCTCACTTGACATTTCCGAAAGGGCCTCCGCCGCAGGGGCCCCTGCCATTTGAGCAGTAAACTGTATCTCCGCCCATTTATCAGTTAGACAGCAGCGTTTTAAATGTTTCGATCGCCTGAGGCAGCGAGCCTCAAGCGCCCAAGCCGCCGGCACACTCTTGGCACGCAACATGACTGGTATATACGCGTGCATTCAGCCCCCCCACGCATGCAGCACGAGTAGATGGTGCTGTGGCAGGTGTGGCATATTGCAAAAGGCGGGTGGCTCGCCGTAGTGCTGGCTGGCGCCGCTGGTGCCTGGGTGTCGGCCCATGCCAGAACACAGCCGGAAGTGCATGCGTTGCATCATAGAACACACACTGGGGTACAACTGCAAGTTCAGAAATCCACACAAGAAGCTGGTCTAACCCCTGCAGCACCAACCAGTAGATGAGGCTAGGCGAATTCCCGAGGGCGGAGCGGCGCGCTGCCAGCCCGTCGGCGCATCTCCCCCAAAGTCACCCACGTGCGTCATTCTTCTTCTTCTCCTACCACTTCAAGATTGAACGCAACAACACAATCACAAGCAATGCAGGCTCTGGCTCTTGGCGCACGGCTCAGCAGCAGCAGCAGCGCCCTCAGGGGGCAGCGCGCTGGTGAGCAACGCACTGCCCGATCGCACCTGCCCCTAGATCGGGACAGCGACGAGGTTGGCGCAGGAGTCCGCCCGGTTCCGCCCGCCCGCCCGCCCGCCCGTGGAGCCCGCCCGCCCGGTCCCACTACTGATCTGCTGCGGAGGAGTTCGCCCCATTGCGCCCCTGGATGCATCATGGCAAGCAGGCCAGGATCATCGCCGCACTCGCTGATGGGTGCAGGCTGCCGCCCCGCCCTGCCGTCCGTGTGCAGGCTGCCGCCCCGCCCTGGCCCGTGTGCCACCAGTCACCACCCGCAGCCGCTGCATCAAGGCCGCCGCCAGTGATGATGATGTGGGAGCTGCAGGCACTGCAGCCATCGCCCTGGGCTTGATTTCTAACCCAATCATGCTTTGGTCGGAGTGGACCCTCTTCAGCACTGGCTCAGGGCTGCCCCCTGGCCCAGGTGGGTGTGCTCACCGGGCCAGCGGCTTGCCACAGCAAGGGCAGAGCCTGCGCAAGGTGCCATCCTTGCGATTGGACCAATATAATGCGAAGTTACTTATGGATCTTCGGCAACAGATTTGTTGGGTTTTTTTGGTGAGAATTTCGCTTATTTTCTGTGCTGCGCAGGTGGCGCCCTGGGTGCGGCCGAGGGCATCTCCTACCTCGTCATCTTGGGAATTGTGGCATGGTCTGCAGCCACCAAGGCCTCGACCGGCAGTGGCCTCCCTGCCGGCCCCGCTGGCCTGCTGGGTGCAGTGGAGGGTTTCTCCTATCTCTCCCTGCTGGCGGGCATCGTGGTCTTCGGGCTGAAGATCGCCACGCAGGGTTGAAGCCGATATGATTTACATTTCAGTTTTTGGTGCCTTGCGATCCCTTCCCAAGACATTTCGGTCCCCCCCATCCAAAGTCCCCGCCCTCGACTTCTGCTGCATTCCATTTGCAATTCCCACACTGGCCCCAGAATTCCTGCCGTAGTTGCCTTCACGCTGCTGCCAGCAGAAGCGGGTAGGTACCGCTATCGGTGGTGCCCTGTGCGCCTCAGCTCGTGCCTTCATCTGCACCTTCGCCCTCATCCATCTCTGCCGCCACCTGCTCCGGTGCCGCCTCTGCCATTTGGGGTGCAGCTGTGCTGGCCTCTTCCACCGGAGCCACCTGCTCTGCATCTGGCTGCGCTGGCTGTGGCTTGGGTGCATCCCCCTCCAGCAGCGAGTTCAGACCGTGCAGCACCTCCTCTGGCTGCTGGCCGTCATGCGCGACTGGTGCCTCTTGTGGGTTCTCATCCCCCTCCGGCACTGCACCCCCCTGAACTGCTGCAGCGGGTTGCTCTGGCTCCTCTGTTGGCACCTCTGAGGCTGGACCCTCGGAGGACGGGTGCGCCTCTAAGTCCATGGCTGTCCCGCTGCCATCTGCAGGCACATCGAGGGGGCTGGTGGCCTGCACCATGCTCTGCAACCTGGTGTCTTCTGGGCCATCCATGGTCGCTTCTGCCACCTCTGCCTCCGCCAGCTTGACATCCGGCAGTGGCTGCCCCTTGGCCTGCCTGCCAGCTGCCCGCGCCTCGGCTGTCACCTCCACCACCGCGTCGTCCTCCTCGTGCACTTCAGCTGCATCTGCCACCTCTGCTAAAACTGCATAGTCCTTCTTCTTCAGTTCAGCAATGGGTGCTGCTGGCTCCAGCTGTGCCTCCTCCATGGCAGCTGGCGAGTCACAGCGCTGCTCTGGCCTGCTTTCTTTTTCCTCAGAAGGAGCAGCCGCCTGCTCGCCTGCTGGCTCGGCACCTTCAGCCGGGCTCTCCACTTCAGCTGCTGCCGCTGGCACCAGCTCTGCAGGGGCACTTGCAGCTTCCTGCTGTGGGGCAGCTGCCCACGAGGCTGCCACGGCGGGGATAGCGTCGACGGGCGGCGGGTCGGTGCGCAGCGCCGCCAGCAGCTTGGAGGCATGGGACTGGCTGTAGTGGTTGAGGAGCTCCTCCGGGAACAGGCATAGGCAGGCTTCAATAGCCCCGCTGGCAGCGGAGTTGGCCTCGGCGCGTGCTTGCAGCCACGCCAGAGCACCGCTAGTTGCAAAGCTGGCCCTCGTGCCCGGCTGCTTGGCCATGACGGCAGAACACCGTGCGAGCAACAGCTCCAGCAGCTGCGGATCAAGGGATGGCTGCATGAGCACCGCTCCCAGCACAGCCATATCGGCCAGCTGCCCCACCACCCCTGCTGCCGCCTTGAGGCACTTGCTCTGCAGGTCGCTGTCGCCGGGGGCAGAGCTGGCTAGGGTGCAAAGGCGGGGCAGGGCCGTGGCTGCAGCCTCTGCCAGTGCGGGCGTCCAGCTGCCGATGCGGCCCATCACCCAGGCCGCAGCAGCCTGGCAATGCTCGTCGCTGGACTGCAGCCCGGCAACCACAGCAGGCAAAGCGCCAGGAGCAGCCGCCACGCTGTCAGCCAGCTCGGCTGATTGACTGGCCAGGAATCCAAAGGCCAGCAACGCCGGCAGCGCCGGGGCCGAGGAGCCAGTGGAGGCGGCGTAGGAGGCGAGCGCATCCAGGACACCAGGCTCGTTAGCCACAGCCGTTGCCAGGCTGACGTTGTGGCGCACAATGTCGCGCAGGCACGCTGCTGCATGGCGCCGCACCGTGTCGTCGGCAAACTTGAGGCACCTGCAGCTTAGGATGGGGACGGCAGCAACCAGCCGAAGTCAACTGAACGCACGCTGGCGAATACTGCCGCAAATCTCTTGAAAAGTCGGCATTCGGCATTGCTTGACATGCTGACCTGCGCACCTGCCAATGTCGGGCAGCAGCCCAGCGCCCACCACTTCTGCCGCCTGGGTGGGACCTGCCTTGCAGATGTTCATCAGCACGCAGAGCAGCTGGCGCTTCAGGCGTGCATCGTTGGACAGTGCCAACCGCAGCGAAAAGTCGACGGCATGCACGGCGCCCGCTGCCACCACCTCTGCTGCAAGCTCAGCGCTGTGCCCGCAGATGTCGCTGAGGGTGGAGGCAGCCACGCGGCGCAGCACAGAGTCCGATGCTGCTGATGCCGGGCTGCTCAAGCACGCCACCAACGGCACCAGCGCGCCAGCGTGCACTGTTGCCGCGGCCAGCGTCTTGGGTGCGCCGCCACATGGGCCAGCGTCCAGACTGCAGTGTGCAAAATTAGATGGCTCAGGACTACAAGAAGAAGCGGAGATGGCAGCAGAATGCTCCGGGTGCACCGGTGCTTGATGCTTGGTGCCGGCATGCATGTCCGCTGTCTGCAGCCTGGGTGCAGTTCCCACCACCCCACCCGCTGCCTCCTTCGCCTCGCCATCTGTGTTCTGCAGGCAGCTCACAGCTGCCGCGAGGCCGCCCTGCTCCGCCACAGCGCCCGCCAGCTCTGCCGAGTGCCGGGTCAAAGCAGACATCACACCCATGGCGGCACGCTTGGCACCATGGCTGTCCTCATCAGCCTTGTCCTCTATGCGCCCAAGCTGTACCAAGCCAAGGGGGCGATGCATGTGTGTGCTTGTAACATGGGAGAGGGAAACAGTGCCACATGCCCATGCAGGTGAGGACCGCTGCCGCTTCACCGTGGCTTGGTAACGCACCAGCATCCCAACCACGCCCGCCTCTAACAGGTTGGCTGCCACCACGCTGCTGTGCCCGGCCAGGCGGCCCAGGGCAGCTGCCGTGGTGTGCGCCACTGCATCCGCTGGATCTGTGAGCAGCGGCAACAGCAAACGTATGCCGCCCTGGGCCACCAGTGGCGCGGTATTGCCCTCCGCCCTCGCGGCGTCTAACATGGAGCTGGCGAATGCCATCCGGTCTCGCTCGTAGCGGCTGAATACGCTGGGGAGCCCCCTGCCTGCCATGGCTGTAGTTCAAGAAACACGGTCAAGTACAGCCAGCGACGTGTCGCCCTGCCTGCAATCGCTATTCCCCACCTGAGCGTGGCGCTGAATCGGGATGGGCCCGACCAGCTGAGTTGCATCTAGGCATTCGGTCAAAGTGCCACGCAAGCAGCATTTTCTACTTGATCATCTTGACCCCTTGTCCCCCGCCATGCTACCTCTTTCCTCCGGTCATGAAGGCCACTGAGGAGCTGCTGCTGAAATCTCCTGCTGATAAAAAGTTCTACCGCCTGTGCACGCTTGACAATGGGCTGCAGGCGCTGTTGATCCACGATCCCGAAATCAATGAATGCTGCCAGCAGGAGGAGGAGGGCGGGGCAGTGCAGGGGCATGCGGAGGAGGCCAGCGATGAGGAAGTGGACAGCCTGCTGAGCGGGGAGGATGGGTCGGAGGAGGAGGTGCGCCGCAGGTGCAGAGGGGCTGCAGGCAGCTGCGGCGACAGTGGCGGTGAGATGGCGACGGCGGTGGTTGCAGCCCCTCCTGGTGGCGCTGTACTCGCCCCCAGGCCACCTGTGCTACCCATGCATGCAGGAGGAGGAGAGCAGTGAGGAGGAGGGATCTGATCATGAGCACGTCCATCGCCATCACGGTCACGGCCACCACGGCAACGGCGGGGCGGTCAAGAAGGCGGCGGCGGCGCTGTCGGTGGGCGTGGGCCACTTCACAGACCCGTGGAGCCTGCAGGGCCTGAGCCACTACCTGGAGCACATGCTGTTCATGGGCAGCGAGCGATTCCCTGACGAGAACGACTACGATGCCTTCCTCACTGCACACGGCGGCTCGTCCAACGCCTGCACTGAGGAGGTGCCACGGGGCAACTGCCAGTAGCAGCGGAATGGAGTAGGCTGCCCGGCATGCGCTATGGGAAGGCAGCTGTGCATGCCACGAGCCGCTCCAGTTCGGTCAGCAGATTGATCCCCGCCCGCATGCAATCACGCGCAGGAGTGCACGACGTTCCATTTTGACGTCAAGCCCGACACGCTGCGCCCCGCCCTGGACCGCTTTGCCCAGTTCTTCATTGCGCCGCTGATCAAGGCAGACGCGTTGGATCGGGAGGTGCAAGCTGTTGACAACGAGTTTTCCGGGGTGCTGCAGGTGAGGAGGAGCGGCTGGGGCATGGTGGTGGTTGCATTTCTGTGCGCTGTGCAGCTCTCTGTTCAAGTTAGTGGTCAGCAGCCTCAGCCAGGCCTCCCCCTCGCCACTTTCTGTGTGCCTGCAGTCGGACGCGTGTCGCATGCTGCAGCTGCGGTGCCGCACGGCGCGTGAGGGCCACCTCTTCCGCAAGTTTGGCTGGGGCAATCGCAAGTCGCTGGTGGAAGACCCTGCCACGGCAGGCATCGATGTGCGACAGGAGCTGCTGCAGTACTATAGGTGTGTGTTTGAGCGCGTGGAGGGAGCAAGGTGGCATGGCTTTGGCCGCATCTTCAACAATGTAGCAGCCGCCCACCCAGTAATCTGATCGCCTCGGCCTCGTTGCTGCCCTGGCATGCCCTGGCATGTGGTCATACTGCAGGGAGCAGTACAGTGCGGAGCGCATGAACCTGGTGGTGCTGGGAGGGGAGGATCTGGATGTTCTGCAGCAGGTGTGCAGCAGCGTACTGGCAGGGTGCTGCCTTTGGTGAGGTGGGCTGTTTGATGGGCGGCGGGCATGCCGCCTCATGCCGCAGAACCGGCTTGTGTAGATCACGTGCAGGCTGGCCCTGCCTGTTATCATCTGTTTGCCTGCCTTCCCTGCTCTGCAGTGGGTGGAGGAGCTGTTCAGCGCAGTGCCGGGTGGGCGGGGTCCTCGGCCACAGTACGGCCATGTGGGGCCGCCATTCCATGGCGGACGCCTGTATCTCTTGCCTGCGGTGCGCGATGAGCACCGGCTCACGGCGACCTTCCAGCTGCCCTGCCTCAACGGGAAGTACAGGTTCGCCGAGCAGCAGGGACCAGCTCTTGGATGCGTGCCATCCGGCCGCCTGGGTGCCGGATGTCGTGCTGCCTGCCTCCAAGCGCCACCCGTGGCCGCTGTGCGCTTTCCGCAGCCCCGCCCCGCTTCACACACCCGCCGCCTGCTGCCTGCCTCATTCCACGTGCAGGAAGAAAGCGGATGAGTATCTGGCACACTTTGTGGGGCATGAGGGCAGCGGCTCACTGCTGTCGGCGCTCAAGGCGCGCGGCTGGGCCAGCGAGCTGAGTGCGGGCGTGAGTGACCAGTCTTCGGTTGCCTGGCTCTTTGAGGTGTCTATCACCCTCACGGAGGCAGGACTGGCGGCAGGGCCAGGTGAGCTTTTACACTGCACGAGCTGAGCTTGATCGATGGAGCTGGCCAGGTGCCATGTAGCACCTATACTGAAGTGGTGCGCCGAGGCTCTGCTCTGCATCCTGTCTTGCCCTGCTTCTGCAGGCTGCGGGCTGGCATGTGTGGGCCTGTTGTTTGAGTTCCTGGCGCTTCTGCGGAGCGTGGGACCCCAGCGCTGGGCTTATGATGAGCTGGCCACCATAGCGCAGATGCGGTTCAGGTTCCAGGTGGGGCACCGACGGGGCGCTGTGGTCCTGCTGCGCAGTATGCTATCGCTGTGGTGGTTGTTCTGCCCTACAGCCAGGGGAAGGCTTCCCCACCGAGCCACACCAGTTTGCAGCTTGCCACATGCATCTGAACGCTTGCTGGCCCTGCAGGAGGAGGAGGACGCGGCCGAGTATGCGGCAGGGCTGGCCTCAAACCTCTTCTTCTATGCACCAGCCGATGTGCTGGCGGGGCAGTACATGTTTGAAGACTGGGACCCGGCGCTGGTGGGTTTGGCGGGGGAGCACATGGACCATCACTGAAACGCAAATCGCTGCTCACCTCTCTTTGCTACGCCTGCTGTGCCGCCATGCCATGTAGGCCACAGAGCTGCTGCAGGGCATGACGCCCGATGCGGTGCGCCTGGACCTCTGCACCCGCAGCCACGAGGTGTGCGCAGCGGCAGTCCGTGGCTGGCCCGGCGCGGCAGTGGGCGACGAGCCCTGGTTCAACTTTCCTTATGTCGAGGCGCAGCTGCCAGAGGAGCTGCGGCAGAGGTGGGCACGCCAGCTGTTGGTGCCCCTGGCCAGAGCTACCAACATTGCCGTGGCCTGCTGGTTGTATTGGCTCGCTCCAACAACTAAGTTGCTGTGCCCCTTCTTGGCCTAATTGCAGCTGGGCGGACGCAATTCCATCGCTTGACATCGCCCTACCGTCACGCAACGATTACCTGCCTACCAACTTTGACTTGCGTTGTGAGGAGCAGGCCAACGGCGGCGCGCCTGCCGCCGGTGCAGCATCTATTGGCGAAAATGGTGCAGCCAATGGCCAGCAACAGCTTGGCCCTGCAGCGTCTGCAGCAGAGCCCGGTGGTGGCTTGGCCCCAGACTTGGCAGTCTTCCCCTCCCCACCAGCCCTGCTGCTGGATGAACCTGGGCTTCTGGTGTGGCACAAGCTGGATGCCTCCTTCCGCCAGCCGCGGACCAACGCCTACCTGCGACTCTTCTCTGCCGCGGGCTACGCCTCGCCGCGCGCCGCAGCGCTTTCCCACCTCCTCATCAAGCTGCTTGAGGATGCTCTGTGTGAGACAGCCTACCTAGCAGAGGTGGCAGGCCTACACTACGGAATCTGGTGAGGGCTTGGGCCCAGGGTTGCTGCTCCTGCCCCTCCTACCGCTCACATCATGCCGGCAACGCCACCCCATGTACTGATCCATGCATGCTCTCTGCCGCCCTGCAGGTGGGAGGGCGGCCCGGGCATGGACTTCAAGCTCTATGGCTTCTCGGAGAAGCTGCCGCTGCTGGCCGCCTTCATCTTCCGCTCCCTGGCTCATCTGCAAGTGTTGCCGGAGCGGTTTGTGCGCATCAAGGAGGCGCTGCTGCGGAATGTGAGGTTGCAGCGCAGGGTGGCATGGGGGCATCCCCTGGCTGCGACATGCGCGCATGTCAGGGGGCGCCAGGTGCCAGGCTGCCCTACACTGTGTTGGCCACAGCCAGGAGCTCAACTCAGCTGCCTTGCGTTCCCTGTTGGATTGCAGTACCGCAATGTCAATATGAGCCCAAGCAAGCATGCCACATACCAGCGTCTACTGGCGCTGAAGGAGCGGTTCTGGCACGCCGACCAGGTATGGGCTGTGGCCGCCGGCCAAGCAGGCCCCACGTCTTGAGCAACCAATTCGCATCTGGCTCCGATTACTCCCTAATTCTTGATCGCCCCCCTCCCCCCCCTCCACACAGGTGCTGCCTGAGCTGGAGGGGCTGGAGGCATCTGATGTGACAGCCTTCCTTCCCGCCCTGCTTGCGGGGCTGCATATCGAGGCCTTGCTGCACGGCAACATTGCTGCCAGCGAGGCCGAGGCACTGGCAAGGCGGCTGCATGTCACCCTGGGTGGCGCCAGCCTGGCAGCCAGCACACGGCCCGCCGAGCGCTGCGTGCAGCTGCCCAAGGGCTGCACCATGCTGAACAGGTGCGCCGCTGGACAGCCGACTCCCTTCACACTTGCACCTGTGCATCACTGCTGACAGCCTGCCACCTTCCCTGCCTCCCCGTGCAACCAGCCGAGAAGCACCCATGTTTCGGCACCCCTTCTCCTCCCTCCCTGCACATGGCCTGCAGGAGCCGAGCAAAGAACCCCGATGAGGAAAACAGTGTGGTGGAGGCCTACTACCAGTGCTGTGCAGACACGGTGCAGGACCGCGCGCTGCTGGACATGGTGGAGCAGGTGGGTGGTGACATGGACAGTGGACGCAGGGCTGTGCGGCTCTACTTCCATCTTGCTCTCGTTCCATCCGGTCAGCCCACACACCAGCATGATTTTTCGCTCATCCCCTCTCCGCAGCTGCTCTACGAGCCGTGTTTCGACACGCTGCGGACCAAGGAGCAGCTTGGATACAGCGTGCACAGCGGCACACGGCGCACGCACGGCGTGCTGGGCCTGTGTGTGGTGGTGGTTTCGGGCGCGCACGGCCCGGCGCACCTGGATGTGCGCATCGAGGCCTTCCTGGCCTCCTTTGCCGCCACGCTGGCAGAGATGGGGGAGGAGGAGTTTGAGAAGCAGCGGCAGGCGCTGCTGGCCATCAAGATGATGAAGGTGCGAGCCAGCCTTCCTGAACCGGCGGGCAGTTGGTGCGGCAGGGAGCACGCGCTTGGGCAGTGGCGGGCCCTGCTTGTGCAGTGTGATGCCCTGCCTTCCCTGTTCTGATGCCACAGACACCACTGATGCTGGCACCGGCCGGCCTGTCGGTGCGTTGCAGGACCGTACCATGATGGAGGAAAGCGACCGGGCATGGGACAAGATTGCCAGCCGCAGCTACGCGTTCCATTCGCTTCGGGATGAGTGCACCCACCTGCGCGTTCTCACCCTGCAGCAGGTGTGTGGCCAAGCGATGCAGGCATGCAGTGGCAGAGCTAAGGGCTCGCAGCATGCGGGGTGGGTGCGTCTTCAAAGCTCCAGGCACTGGCCATGCTTCAAAGCTCAAGCTACATCAACCCTGCCTGTTTTGCAGGTGCGCGACTTTTACAACACCTACTTGGCGCCAGGCAGCATCACGCGTCGCAAGCTGAGCTTGCACATCATGGGGCAGGCGCACGTGGCGGAGCTGGAGGCGCAGCCCCCGGCAGGCGTGCAGCTGGTGGAGCAGCCGCAGGAGCTCAGCAGGCAGCTGCCGTTGTGGCCGGCAATGCTGGGTGATGCGCACGCGTGCAACTGAGCGGCTGTAAATTGACACGGGTCCGCTGCTCAGGCGGCAGGGTGGTTGTCTGAGCTGCATGAGCCCTCCCCATGGACACCAGCAGTCTGAGACAGCTTAGCACGCTCGCGATAGTCGGATTGCAAGTCGATCGGCTATTTAAACCAGCTATCGTCGACTGCACGACTCCAGTGCGTCCTGCCTGCTGTGGCACAGAGTGAAACATCATCGGATGCCTGAGGGCGCCCCACGATCTCGATGCACTGCCGGAGCACAGTCGCTGCTCTGCACAGCCGTTGCTCTGTCCTCTCGCGCGCTCCCGTCCATCGCACCGCCGCTGTGGCTCTGCTGCGCGCCCCTGGTGCTCGAACAACTTCTGATCGACCCGGCTTGATCAGCGCAGCGTCAAGGCGTCAACCCTTGCACTGGGCGGCGATGGGCGCCGCCGACGGCAAAGCGGCACAGGTCTCTGCTGCGCCTGCGGAGGCGATAGATGACCAGCAAGTGGCAGCTGCCTTGTGTCGGTTCCCGCGCATCATTCTGGGCACCTCATCTAGCGCAAGAAGAGGTAGCTGCTTCTGCCACGACGGCACGCTGCCTCCCTGTCTCCTGCCGCCCTGTTCCTTGCCGCCATCCTATTTCAAGCACCCTCTGCCAGCTGGTGCCTTTGTCCGCACTGCAGGCGTGATGGATGAGCTGACGGTACAGTACAGCTTCCAGTACGAGATAGCCAAGGCAGACATTGATGAGAGCGCGATACGGCACGATGAGGCTCACCAACTGGTGCTCAGCCTGGCCCATGCCAAGGCAGACGCTATCAGAGCCAAGCTGCAGGCGGCGGGAAATGGCGACGAGGGCCTGCTGGTGACCTGTGACCAGGTGGGGGCGCAGGCGGTGTGTTTGACATGAGAAGCGTGTCGGCGCGTGGCCTAGGGTGGATGCGAACAGGAGGGAGCAGGGCGGCCGGGAGGCGTGCGCTATCTTTGGGCCCTATCCCTGCTCCTGGGCTGTTGGCGTCGCTGAGGCTTGGTTGCGCCTGTAGTGCTGCAGGTGGTGCTGCACGAGGGCCAGATCCTGGAGAAGCCTGCAGATGAGGCACAGGTATGAATGGTGCGTGGGTGTTCCACACGTCTCCAAGAACCCTCAGGCCCTGGGGGACATGCTCGGCATGCTGGATCACATGTCCCTCTAGTGCAGGCCCACCAGTTTGCTCTTGCCCTGACCCTCTAGACCACGCTGTGCTGCGTGGACCCCACTTGCAGGCCCGCCAGTTTATTGCTGGCTATGCGCGGGCACCTGCCTCCACCGTGGGATCAGTGGTGCTCACAGACCTGGCCACGGGGCGCAGCTGGGAGGGCGTGGATGTGGCAGAGGTGAGCTAGGCCATTTTTTCGATTCATTTGCGGTAGTGCTGCCGCTATGCCTCTACCAAGTGGCCTGCATGCTGCTTGCGCACAACCCCGCATATGGTGTCTGATGTCATCTGCGCACATCCGTGCTTGTTGCGTATGTTTGCACCGGGGCCGCCCGCAGATCCACTTTGAGCCCATCCCGGCGGCCTCGGTGGATGCGCTAATTGCGGAGGGCGAGGTGTACTGGTGTGCCGGCGGGCTGATGGTGGAGCATGCTCTGGTGGCACCCCACGTGACCCACATGGCTGGCAGCCTGGACTCGGTGATGGGGCTGGCCAAGCACCTGCTGCTGCGTCTGCTGTGCCAGGCGGCGGCGGATTCGGCAGCGACGGCACCGCTGTGAGGCATATTGTTTTGTCACGCTGTGATTTGTTCAAAATTTCTGCAAATGTTTTATTCTTTGTGTGCCTTCCGCACCTGTTGTTGAACACGGAGACTTCTGGCAACAGCCTGCACGCGGGAAGACTGGGGGGCCCACCTGTGGACGGTCAGGCAATAGGTCATGCTCAATGCAAGCTGTCCAGCTAACGGCCTGCTTTCAAAGCAAGACTAAAACCATGGTTTGATGATCTGGTTGCTGCTTTCTACCTTGACAGTCTTGGACTAGTCTGTAGCCGCACCCGGTTCCTGGGAGCGGGCTTGTTCGAGTGAGAATGCTTACAGGACCTGCTCTTCCACGGCTAAAGTACACAGTCAAGCGAAGTGGAAAGCGGCTCATGATGCAAGGCTGACAAGCCTCAGAATAGGGAATAGCATCATAGCGATCAATCATAAGGTAACCAGGAAGCGGGAAAACGCAAGGCAGGGAGCCGGCTCAGGCTCCTGCTACAACTCTCCCCCCCTAAAAAGAGAGGCACACCTGCCTCTTCAAAGAACGAAGAGAACAGAGGGGAACAGAGGATGCGGAAACAAAGAGGAAAACAAAGACAGAAAACTGGGGGAATGGAGGAGGAAAGACAGGTGGGGTAATGCAAGGAAAAGAGGTGGTAGCGAGAGCGGGGGGCTCTGCTGCCCGAGGCATCCAGGTGCCAGGCTGCAGAACACCTCTCGCCAGAGCCAAATTACCGGCATATACACCACACTGTTAAAACTCACAGCAGGGGCGCGGTCACGGCAGAAGTTTGTAGAGTTCACGGTAGCGCCGGGTATCGCCAGTGGCAGCGATGCACCAGTGCCGCAGCTCGGCTTCAGTATGCCAGCTATCTTGCCGATCCGCGTCCCGCCATTTCACCAGTACCGTCTTGTCACGTCCTCGAGCAACAAAATGCAACACTTGCTCAAACTCAGGCTCCTCTGAGCTCAGTTCCAACTCCAGGGCTGGAGTGTCGGCCGTCTGCCGAGCAGGGAACTCTGCGCTGCCGTCAATGTAAGGGCGCAAGCGCGACACGTTGATCACAGGGTGCCCACGCCAGTCTTTTGGGAAGCCTGACAGGCGCACCGCAGTCGGGGAGACGATCTCAACCACCGTGAGACCTCTCTCATCAGTGCCACCGTAGAATTTGGGCAGCAACTTGCGGGCTGGGCCCGTCGTGCCAAAGCCCAGGTGCTTAGTCTCCATCAGCACTCGGTCATCCACAGCAAAAGTGTGTTCCTTCCTGTGCAGGTTGGCATGGGCAGTCTGCACAGCCTTGGCACGGTCCAGGTTCTGTTTGGCGTTGCCCCACGCACGCCGCAGCGCCGCCACAAAGGAGTCGGCGTCTGGGCTCCGGCTGGCAGCTGGAAGGGGCACATCACTCAGCAGCGTCGCACGGGTGCGAGGGTGCCGTCCAGTGTTCAGGTAGAAGGGGGTGAACTGCGAGCTGCTATGTAGTGAGTTGTTGTATGCAAACTCAGCAGCACACAACAATTCATCCCAGTTCTGCTGCTCAGTGTCGACGAAGGCGCGCAGCATCTCCTCCAGAGTGCGGTTGGCGCGCTCGGTCTGCCCATCTGTCTGTGGGTGGTAGGCCGTCGACAGGTGCAGGCGCGTGCCCAGCAGCCGCTGCAGCGAGCGCCAGAAGACACCCACAAATCTGCTGTCCCGGTCTGACACAATGCCAGAGGGGTATCCGTGCAGGCGGAACACATGTCGCAGGAACAGCCCAGCGGTCTCCTCTGCCGAGAGCGGAGTGAGCGCCGGCACAAAGTGGCACATTTTGGTCAGGTGATCAGTGAACACCACAATCTGAGTGTTGCCACGCCTGCTCTCAGGCAGTTGTACAATGTAGTCCATGCCCACCAGCTCCCAGGGTGCAGAAGGCACCGGCAAGGGCTGCGCCAGCCCGAGGGGAGGCTGGTTCCGGGTCTTAGTGCGCTGGCAGACCGCACAGCTCCGCACATAAGTAGTCACATCCTTGGCCAAACCAGGCCAGTAGAAGCGCCGTGCCAGCACTTCCAAAGTTTTGTCGCGTCCCAAGTGGCCAGCGACCGGAGCATCGTGGTGCTCGGCCAGCAGCCGCTGCCGCAGGGAGTGCGCAGATGGGGGCAGCCCAGCAGGGGCGGGCACATACAGCCGCAAATCCTGCCCCTCTCCCTCCCTAAAGAAGAGGAGGCCCTGGTGGGACTCCCACTGCTGCCAGCTTGGCTCGGGGGCGCTGGCGTCGACAGCACCAGAGGGGCCAGGGCTGGGGGCGGGGACCGCAGGGACGCCCGCCTCAGTCGCAGTGACACGCGCAGCCGCAGCCTCCTCAGCCGCCGCAACAGCAGCCAAGCCCCCGCACGCAACAGGATCCAGGGCGTACGAGACCCGCAGCTCCGCAAAGAAGGAATCCGGGGTGTGAGACACTGCCAGCGCCGACAGGTGCAGGCCAGCGGTCTCCACAGCAGCCGTGTGGACCGCCAGTGCTGCCGCGTGAGCCGGCGAGCAGCACAACTTGGTCCGCAGGGAGGAGAACGCCGCCGTCACCCGTGTCGCTCGTGCCCGGGAGCGCCGACTCCGCGCTGGGTTGCGGGAGAGCGCATCAGCCACCACATGTACCGGC